AGGGCTCATAATCCAGTGCCTTTATCACAGTCTATAAACTTATATCTTAGCTTTAATTAGCTTTAAAAATGCTACAAAATGAGATTAGCTATAAAACTGCACATTTTCCACTCTTCCCCATTGCAACATTTGTAGAATTGCAGGAAATTAGCTTTAAAACAGAAAGAGATAGAGAGAGATTGTAGAGTGGGGTATATGAGGTGAGTTGACCAAAAGTGGTGGAGGGGGAGGGACTTAGAGTTGGAAGAAGGGGAGAGGGAAGAGGGGGGAGGGTGAGTGAGTGAGGACTATATTTGGGAGTGACACTCCCATGTAAAGTCACTTCACTAGAAAAGGGCTGGAGGTACACCACAGAGACAGGAAGGAACACCACAGAGACAGGAAGGAACACCACAGAGACAGGAAGGAACCCAGCAGCCCTGGTCTCAGCTCTCACTCCCTGACCAGCACTGCTCCCCTATACCAACAGTAAATATCATAACCCAGCAATAAATATCCTAACCCAACAGTAAATATCCTAACCCAACAGTAAATATCCTAACCCAGCAGTAAATATCATAACCCAACAGTAAATATTATAACCCAGCAGTAAATATCATAACCCAACAGTAAATATCATAACCCAGCAGTAAATATCCTAACCCAACAGTAAATATCATAACCCAGCAGTAAATATCATAACCCACAAGTAAATATCATAACCCAGCAGTAAATATCCTAACCCAACAGTAAATATCATAACCCAGCAGTAAACATCATAACCCAGCAGCAAATATCCTAACCCAGCAGTAAATATCCTAACCCAGCAGCAAATATCCTAACCCAACAGTAAATATCATAACCCAGCAGTAAATATCATAACCCAGCAGTAAATATCATAACCCACAAGTAAATATCATAACCCAGCAGTAAATATCCTAACCCAGCAGTAAAGGTCATAACCAAGCAGTAAATATCCTAACCCAGCAGTAAATAACCTAACCCAGCAGTAAATATCCTAACCCAGCAGCAAATATCCTAACCCAGCAGCAAATATCCTAACCCAGCAGCAAATAACCTAACCCAGCAGTAAATAACCTAACCCAGCAGTAAATATCCTAACCCAGCAGTAAATATCCTAACCCAGCAGCAAATAACCTAACCCAGGAGCAAATAACCTAACCCAGCAGTAAATATCCTAACCCAGCAGTAAATATCATAACCCAGCAGTAAATATCCTAACCCAGCAGTAAATATCCTAACCCAGCAGTAAAGGTCATAACCCAGCAGTAAATATCCTAACCCAGCAGTAAATATCCTAACCCAGCAGTAAAGGTCATAACCCAGCACCCCTGACTAGCACTACTCCCCATGTATTTGCAGTAAATGACATACCCACTGCATCTGGGCTGATAAAATATACTCCGTCTCTCCATCCTCTCTCTCTGCCTCTCTCTCTTTCTTTCTCATGTGGTCCCTCTGTTTTTGGTCCCTCTTTATTTAGGTCATTCTCCTTCTCTTTCACTCTCTCTTCATCTGTCCCTTTCTCTTGTTCTTCATCTCCATCTCTCTCAGAAAGACATGGCATCTTTCTGTCACGTTGCCCGTGTTTGTTTCTGTCACTTTAATAGTGCTACACTCTTTCACCTTTTTTCAGTCCAATTCTGTGTGTGTGTGTGTGTGTGTGTGTGTGTGTGTGTGTGTGTGTGTGTGTGTGTGTGTGTGTGTGTGTGTGTGTGTGTGTGTGTGTGTGTGTGTGTGTGTGTGTGTGTGTGTGTGTGTGTGTGTGTGTGTGTGCCTGCATGAGTGAGTGAGTGAGTGAGTGAGTGAGTGACTGTGTTTGCATCTGTTACTTGTGTGTTGGTGCATTACACACATCCAGTGTATGTGGCTGTCTGATTGGTATTGCGTCTGTGCCTGCTTTTATGTTCCTTTGGTGCATGTCATTTCCTGCTCTCCAGTCAAACCACAAAGCAACTCTAAAATCATTAAGGAATCCCATTCAATTACAATAGTGACATCATTTAGGTGATTTAGGGCGCTAAGCATTGACCCCATGAGAACCTGCTCATCTCACTCCTCCCCATATTCAGCAACAGACCTTTAAAAACCACAAACAAAGGGATGGAGAATTTGATACGATGCTACTGAAATAGCATTTATACTCATTCTTTACATAGTAGTAGTTTTTTTAAAGGGAATTGAACATAGAAGGTAGATCTCACTCTCATTTTGAAAATAAAAAAATACCCCTTTTTGTGTGCGTGTGTGTTTTTTTGTTTAACTATCGTTGTGGGTACCAGATATCCTCACAAGGATAGTTAAACAGTGATAATTCAGACAATTGGGGACATGTTGCCTGTCCCCACAAGGAAAATTTTTATTTTAAGCTTAGGGGTTAGATTTAGGGTTAGTGTTAAAATTAGGGTCAGAGTTAAAATTAAAGTTAGGGTTAACGGTTATGGTTAGGTCTAGTGTGAGGGTTAGGAGTTAGGTATAGTTTTAGGGTTTGGGGTTAAGCTTAGGGGTTATGGTTAGGTTTAGGGTTAAAAGTTAGGGTTAGGGTTAGATTTAGGGAATCAATTATTTGGTCCCCACTAGGATAGCAATACAAAACTGTGTGTGTGTGCGTATATATATAGTTTGCATAAAGATAGTGAAGGAAAATACAGCATATGGATAGAGAGAGAGAGAGAGAGAGAGAGAGAGAGAGAGAGAGAGAGAGAGAGAGAGCGTGAGTTCTACTTTTTATGTTCAATTCCCTCTGAAAAGAACTATTATGTAAAGAATGATTATGAATGCTATTTCAACAGCATCGTATCAAATTCTCCATCCCTTTGTTTGTGGATTTTAAAGGTCTGTTGCTGAACATGGGGAGGTTGTGAGGCATGGAGGATATACTTTTTTACAGTATATATATACTACATGACCAAAAGTATGTAGACACCTGCTCATTACCCTTTGCTGCTATAACAGCCTCCACTATTCTGGGAAGGTTTTCCACTAGATGTTGGAACATTGCTGCGGGGACTTGCTTCCATTCAGCCACAAGAGCATTAGTGAGGTCGGGCACTGATGTTGGGCGATTATGCCTGGCTCGCTGTCGGCGTTCCAATTCATCCCAAAGGTGTTCAATGGGGTTGAGGTCCGTGCTCTGTGGAGGCCAGTCAAGTTCCTCCACACCGATCTCGACAAACCATTTTATGTATGGACCCAGCTTTGTGCACAGGGGCATTGTCATGCTGAAACAGGAAAGGGCCTTCCCCAAACTGTTGTCACAAAGTTGGAAGCACAGAATTGTCTAGAATGTCATTGTATGCTGTAGTGTTAAGATTTCCCTTCACTGGAACTAAGGGACCTAGCCCGAACCATGAAAAACAGCCCAAGACCATTATTCCTCCTCCACCAAACATTACAGTTGGCACTATGCATTGGGGCAGGTAGCGTTCTCCTGGCATCCGCCAAACCCAGATTTTTCACTCAGACTGCCAGATGGTGAAGCGTGTTTCATCACTCCAGAGAACACGTTTCCACTGCTCCAGAGTCCAATGGCAGCAAGCTTTACACCACTCCAGCCAATGCTTGGCATTGCGCATGGTGATCTTAGGCTTGTGTGCGGCTGCACGGCCATGGAAAACCATTTCATGAAGCTCCCGACCAACAGTTCGTGTGCTGACGTTGCTTCCAGAGGCAGTTTGGAACTTGGTAGTGAGTGTTGCAACGGAGTAGAGATGATTTTTACGTGCTACGCGCTTCAGCACTCAGCGGTCCCGTTCTGTGAGCTTGTGTGACTTTGCGGTTGAGCCGTTGTTGCTCCTAGATTTTTCCACTTGGTGTGGGATAACCTGTGCTGGGCTTGGTGTGGGATAACCTGTGCTGGGCTTGGTGTGGGTTAAACTGTGCTGGGCTTGGTGTGGGATAACCTGTGCTGGGCTTGGTGTGGGATAACCTGTGCTGGGCTTGGTGTGGGATAACCTGTGCTGGGCTTGGTGTGGGATAACCTGTGCTGGGCTTGGTGTGGGATAACCTGTGCTGGGCTTTTGTCCCTAGCTTTGTCCAACCCTGTTGCCATAGTGATGGATGCTACGTGCCACCTGTTTGTTTGAGTAAGATAATAACTTTATGAGAATGTCTACTCCTTTTTGCATACCCCTATTTGGAAACAAAGATAATGAGTAACAAATTCAAAGCAATGAGTATCAGTTTAAGATGTATAAAGGGCCAAGCAGGGGGTGACAGACACACAGAAGGAGAGAGAGCTGGAGAGAGCAAGAAAGACGGAGCGAGACAGAGTTTCCTACAAGCAACAGGTGAGGCCATCTTAAAATGTATCATCCTGTTGGAATTGTAGCATTAATGTAGAGAAACCTATGTCATGTAATGGTTTCCAATCATTTTGGTGCAAAATATTGATGTAAGTGGTACATTTTCAAAACTTTTGGATCACAACTAAACAGAGTGTAGGGGTTTCTGTTCACTACTCCTATCATATTTCCTTTTCATTTCACAGTGATGGAAACTTTCTTGTATCTCACCCTCCTAATCTCAGGTCAGTTAAATGTGAGTTTGTGTGTGTTTTTGTGTGTTTGTGCGTGCGTGCGACACGTACGTGTGTGTGTGTGTGTGTGTGTGTGTGTGTGTGTGTATTTGCTTGCACAATTGAATTGCACAGATCCATAGATAGTGTGGTTGGGGGTGAGGCGTTGCTGGAGAAAATGTCCCTCATGAATCAGTATTCTATTCCATCAGTATCACGTCATGAACATAGAAAAGAGCAAATGCGTTCATGTATGCTGGGTGTGTGTGTGTTTATGGATGTAGGTATGTGTGTGTTTATGGATGTAGTTGGTGTGTGTGTGTTTGCACACCAGGGTGTACTGTATGTTCACAGATCCATAGGTGAGTGTGGTGGGGGTTGAGAAGTTGCTGGAGAAAAATGTCCCTCATGAATCATTATTCTGTTCACAGGCTTCTACACACCTTCCTCATGTCTTCATCAATTTCACTTCATTACCAACCTTATGACCTGGACTGACGCCCAGAGTTACTGCAGAGCACAGTACACTGACCTGGCCACAGTAGATGACATGGAGGACCTGAACAGGCTGATTACTCCTCTCAAATATTATAAATACATTTTATGGATCGGACTGAAGAAAGGAGACTCCATGAAGTGGCAGTGGTCTCTGGCAGACAGACGTTTCTACAGAGAGGGGGAGACTGAGTTCAGAAACTGGGACACTGGGACGCCCCAAAATGGCAACTGTGCTTTTATGAGTACAGCTGGGATGTGGAACAACGCCTCCTGTGATGACCAGCATCACTTCATCTGTTATGATGGTGAGTGTTTACATACTAACCTCCTGTGATGACCAGCATCACTTCATCTGTTATGATGGTGAGTGTTTACATACTAACCTCCTGTGATGACCAGCATCACTTCATCTGTTATGATGGTGAGTGTTTACATACTAACCTCCTGTGATGACCAGCATCACTTCATCTGTTATGATGGTGAGTGTTTACATACTAACCTCCTGTGATGACCAGCATCACTTCATCTGTTATGATGGTGAGTGTTTACATACTAACCTCCTGTGATGACCAGCATCACTTCATCTGTTATGATGGTGAGTGTTTACATACTAACCTCCTGTGATGACCAGCATCACTTCATCTGTTATGATGGTGAGTGTTTACATACTAACCTCCTGTGATGACCAGCATCACTTCATCTGTTATGATGCTGAGTGTTTACATACTAACCTCCTGTGATGACCAGCATCACTTCATCTGTTATGATGGTGAGTGTTTACATACTAACCTCCTGTGATGACCAGCATCACTTCATCTGTTATGATGGTGAGTGTTTACATACTAACCTCCTGTGATGACCAGCATCACTTCATCTGTTATGATGGTGAGTGTTTACATACTAACCTCCTGTGGTGACCAGCATCACTTCATCTGTTATGATGGTGAGTGTTTACATACTAACGATGAAGCCTGTTCTAAGTGCCAGGGCTGTCATTGAGCTGAAACATAGACTCATGATGGCTTTAAGTTGTTAATCAGTTATCAAATCAATGAGAACATGTACAATAGATGATCAGCAGATTATATTTCATTGGATTTTCTCATTGATTATTAAATTTGACTTTTGCAGGAAAACAAAGCACCAACCTAAAATACGTCTTAATTCAGGAGAAAAAGACCTGGAGAGATGCTCAGAGTTACTGCAGACAGAATCACACAGACCTGGTCAGTGTGAGGAACCAGACTGAGAACACAGAGATAGATCAGAAGATATCCCTGAGGGGACTGCCTGTGTGGATCGGCCTGTTTCAAGACTACTGGAGATGGTCTGACCAGAGTGACTCCTCATTCAGGAACTGGCTGCCAGGATGGCCTTCAACATATCAGAGTTTAAACTGCACTGCGATGGATATCAATCCTCATTATTATACTAAATGGCTAAATTATCCCTGTTCCAACTCCTTTCATTTCATCTGCTATGGTAAGTTACCATGTTCTCCACCTGATCTACCTGATATTATGATGACAGGAGAACTCTAATGTTGCCCCCATGATTCACTACTGTCACTGTGGGATTATATTCTCTTCTAGGCCCAGCTGTGGAGACCCCTGAGAAACCTCAACTGAAGAGACAGGTGGTGAGAGTGAAGATGACTCCAAAGGATCCAAATCTGAACCTCAGCGATCCTGCTGTTCAGGACGACATCTTACAAGAGGTGAGTTTCACCCTGTTCATGAAGAACCAACTCAGTAATGATACAAACTGTACAGACCTCTTCTCCTGGTCTGGGTCCTAGTCTGTTGTGGATGACCCCCTCCCTGGTCTGGGTCCTAGTCTGTTGTGGATGACCTCCTCCCTGGTCTGGGTCCTAGTCTGTTGTGGATGACCTCCTCTCTGGTCTGGGTCCTAGTCTGTTGTGGATCATCTCCTCTCTGGTCTGGGTCCTAGTCTGTTGTGGATGACCTCCTCTCTGGCCGTGACCCCACTCTCTGTGAGTGTTTCAGGGAGAGTGGATTGTGCAAAAAACACATTTCCAATTTACACATGCATATTAAAAGACACGTGTACATGTGTTAAATAGGACAAATATAAGTATCATCTCCTCATAGTGTCAAAGGGTTGAAGTCAAGAACATGTTAGTATAGCAGGAAGGAATGGTAGTTGTAGATCTTCAGAATGACTATTACATAATAAAATAGTCTCTATCTGTCTCTGTGTGTGTGTGTGTGTGTGTGTGTGTCTGTGTGTGTGTCTGTGTCTGTGTCTGTGTCTGTGTGTGTGTGTGTGTGTGTGTGTGTGTGTGTGTGTGTGTGTGTGTGTGTGTGTTTCTCCAGATAAGGAACAAGCTGAAGGAGCAGGGGTTACCTGCAGACACCAAACTGAAATGGAAAAAGCAGCCCGATGGGAAGGTCTTCAACAAGGAGAAAGAGGGGTCTCCCAAGAAAGAAGAGGAGGAGGAGAAGAAGATGAAGAAGAGGAAGAAGAGGATGTTGACAAAGAGAGAACTCTAATTATATCACATGTTCTCCTGACATTTCTCTTTTATTTACATTCATTATCTGTACTGGTCTAGATTTTCTCAGCATAATTGAAAGAGGTATTTTTCTGAGATAAAGGAATTTTTTTTTGTCATATATTACCAATGAAATGTATTCATAAAGCCCTTTTTACATCAGCAGATGTCACAAAGTGCTATACAGAAACCCAGCCTAAAACCCCAAACAGCAAGCAATGCAGATGTAGAAGCACGGTGGCTAGGAAAAACTCCCTACAAAGGCAGGAACCTAGGAAGAAACCATTAAGGCCAGATTGTTCTTCAAGATGTTCAAACTTTCATAGATGACCACCAGGGTGAAATAATAATCACAGTGGTTGTAGAGGTTACAACAGGTCAGTAAATCAGGAGTAAATGTCAGTTGGCTTTTCATAGCCGAGCATTCAGAGGTCGACACAACAGGTGCGATAGAGAGAGAGTCGAAAACAGCAGTTCCGGGACAAGGTAGCACGTCCGGTGAACAGGTCAGGGTTCCATAGCCGCAGGCAGAAGAGTTTAAACTGGAGAAGCAGCACAACCAGCAAGGTTCATCAGGAAGGAGTCATCAGGAAGGAGTCATCAGGAAGGAGTCATCAGGAAGGAGTCATCAGGAAGGAGTCATCAGGCCAGGTAGTCCTGAGGCATGGTCCTAGAGCTCAGGTCCTCCTATAAATTAAAATGTTCATTTTTGATGACCAAATAAAGAAAAACTGAAATCTCTCTTTCACCAGAGAGCCTAGTGACTCGACTGTGCACACAGGCGCTATGCCAGGTGCCATTGTAATTGTGGTCATCACACCACTGTTCTTTAGTTGTGAGGTAACATTGTGCTTCCATGGAAGGCTGTGGAAGGCTACTTTGTTTCTCGTTTGCCTATGCTAAACAACTGTTCTCTAACATGTGGCTTTAGTGAGGCAAGTAGCTTACCGTAGCATTGACCTGTTGTTCTTTGTTCAGCTTTGCCATTGCTATTTATGACTATAAGGTGTGGTGTTGTGGATCAGTTGGGTTTGTGGTGTACTAGCATCTACGGTTTACTGTTGTCCGGTAGTTTCACTAAGATAACAGTAGAGACAGGAAGCTACAGCACCAGGAAGTGGATATGAGTATAAACAAAACATTTACTGTAAAAGACTCTAGTTTCAGTCCGTGACCAGTAGAAATTACCTTTGTCACTTGTTGCATATTACTTTCCCAGGTTGTAATAGTGTAGCATGGTGTCTGTAGCATGGTGTCTGTAGCAGTGTAGCATGGTGTCTGTAGTATGGTGTCTGTAGCAGTGTAGCATGGTGTCTGTAGCAGTGTAGCATGTGTCTGTAGCAGTGTAGCATGGTGTCTGTAGCAGTGTAGCATGGTGTCTGTAGCAGTGTAGCATGGTGTCTGTAGTATGGTGTCTGTAGCAGTGTAGCATGTGTCTGTAGCATGGTGTCTGTAGCAGTGTAGCATGGTGTCTGTAGCATGGTGTCTGTAGCAGTGTAGCATGTGTCTGTAGCATGGTGTCTGTAGCAGGTAGCAGTGTCTGTACATGTAGCAGTGTTGTAGCATGGTGTCTGTAGTAGCAGTGGTGTCTGTAGCAGTGTAGCATGTGTCTGTAGCAGTATAGCATGGTGTCTGTAGCAGTGTAGCATGTGTCTGTAGCATGGTGTCTGTAGCAGTGTAGCATGTGTCTGTAGCAGTGTAGCATGTGTCTGTAGCATGGTCTGTCATGTGTTGTAGCAGTGTAGCATGTGTCTGTAGCAGTGTAGCATGTGTCTGTAGCATGGTGTCTGTAGCAGTGTAGCATGTGTCTGTAGCAGTGTAGCATGGTGTCTGTAGCATGGTGTCTGTAGCAGTGTGTCTGTAGCATGGTTGTCTGTAGCAGTGTAGCATGTGTCTGTAGCAGTGTAGCATGTGTCTGTAGCATGGTGTCTGTAGCATTGTAGCATGTGTCTGTAGCATGGTGTCTGTAGCAGTGTAGCATGGTGTCTGTAGCGTGGTGTCTGTAGCAGATGTAGCAATGTTGTCTGTAGCAGATATGGCATGGTGTCTGTAGCAGTGTAGCATGTGTCTGGTAGCATGGTGTTCTGTAGCATTGTAGCATGTGTCTGTAGCATGGTTTGTCTGTAGCAGTGTCGCATGGTTGTCTGTAGCATGGTGTCTGTAGCAGTGTAGGAATTGGTGTCTGTAGCATGGTGTCTGGGTGTAGCATGTGTTCTGTAGTATGGTGGTCTGTAGCATGGTTGTAGCATGGTGTCTGTGTAGCCATGGTGTCTGTAGCAGTGTAGCATGGTCTGTAGCATGGTGTCTGTAGCATGGGTGTAGCATGTGTAGAGGGTAGGGTGTCTGTAGCATGGTGTCTGTAGCAGTGTAGCATGTGTCTGTAGCATGGTGTCTGTAGCAGTGTAGCATGTGTCTGTAGCATGGTGTCTGTAGCAGTGTAGCATGTGTATGTAGCATGGTGTGTGTAGACCAGTGCTCTCCAACCCTGTTCCTGGAAAGCTACCCTCCTGTAAGTTTTCGCTCCAACCCCAGTTGTAACTAAGCTGATTTAGCTTATCAACCAGCTAATTATTAGAATCAGGTGCGCTAGATTAGGGTTGGAATGAAAACCTACAGGAGGGTAGCTCTCCAGGAACAGGGTTGGAGAGCAAATGTTAACCCCTCCCCCGCTTGGTTCCCATGTGTATCGTGTTCGCCATGGCTGTGTCTGGCTTCTGCTATGCTGCCGTCCTCCCGTGTCTACTGGCCAATGAGAGAGTGGTTTTATGTCATGCCAATGTACCCCTTCTCTTCCACTACCAGACACTCTGTCCTCCAGGGCAAAGGGCTGGGTATGGTACAAGCATGGTCCCCTGTCTCCTTCTTAGTCAACACCAAGGAGTGACAACACACACAGAAGTGCAAGCACGGACGCACGCACACACACACACACAGTCATACACCCCTCCTTCTTGCTTTCTTACTCACACACACACACACAGGTCCCATATAGCAGAACCAGCGTTGGTACCGTAGGCCACTCAGCAGTATTCATTATGGACTGGGGAGAAGGAGAGGGAACCGGAGAGGGAGCCTGAGAGGGAGAGGGAGCCGGAGAGGGAGAGGGAGGGGGAGAGTGAGCCAGAGAGTGAGCCGGAGAGGAAGAGGGAGCCGGAGAGGGAGAGGGAGAGGGAGAGGGAGAGGGAGAGGGAGAGGGAAAGGGAGCGGGGGAGGGAGAGGGAGAGGGAGAGAGGGAGAGGGAGAGGGGAGAGGGAGAGGGAGAGGGAGAGGGAGAGGGAGAGGAGGAGAGGGAGAGGGAGAGGGAGAGGGGAGAGGGAGAGGAGAGGGAGAGGGAGCAGGGGAGAGGGAGGGAGAGGGAGAGGGAGAGGGAGAGGGAGAGGGAGAGGGAGCGGGAGAGGGAGAGGGAGAGGGAGAGGGAGAGGGAGAGGGAGAGGGAGAGGGAGAGGGAAGAGGGAGAGGGAGAGGGAGCGGAGAGGGAGAGGGAGAGGGAAGAGGGAGAGGGAGAGGGAGAGGGAGGGAGAGGGCAGAGGGGAGAGGGAGAGGGAGACGGAGAGGGAGAGGGACGGAAGGAGAGGGAGCCGGAGGGAGAGGGAGAGGGAGGGAGAGGGAGAGGGAGCCGGAGAGGGAGAGGGAGAGGGAGAGGGAGAGGGAGAGGGAGCCGGAGAAGGAGCCGGAGAAGGAGAGGGAGCCGGAGAGGGAGAGGGAGAGGGCCTAGTGTTATCAGACACTGCAGCAGCCCAGTCGGGCCTCCACGGGGCAAGCGTGCCATCTAGAGACCAGACAGGTCACTTAAGATCCACTTAGAAATTCAACGTCCGTCCAGGTTCCCAGGACATCAGGACACACATTCAAGCCGCCACTAGGGGCAACGGTGAGCGCTATTACAATCAAGTAGGCTGGTGGCTTGCTAGGGCGTTGTGGAAACATGCACACAGATGCACACGCACATTCACACACTTCCCTGTCCCTCCCCCTCATAGGGCGGCAGGTAGCTTAGTGGGTAAGAGCGTTGTACCAGTAACCGAAAGGTCGCTGGTTCTAATCCCCAAGCCGACTAGGTGAAAAATCTGTCGATGTGCCCTTGAGCAAGGCACTTAACCCTAATTGCTCCTGTAAGTCGCTCTGGATAAGAGCGTCTGCTAAATGACCAATTTAATTTTTATTTATATTCTCTACCCCATGTATCTCCGGACAGTACAGTCAGTAGAGGGAGAAAGAGAGAGGAGTGTCTTGATCTCTCAAGGCCCTATCACCCTCATTGTCTTCAAAGCAGATTCCTGACAGTCATCACTTCTCCTGGCATTGAATGTCCTTGGCCTCGGCTCTCTCTGTCTCTTCTCTCTCCATCTGTCTCTCTCTCTCTCTCTCTCCCATCGCTCTCTCTCTCTGCACAGGAGGAACAGTGAAGTCAAACACACATTCACATTCAACAGCAGTCCTCTCATCACCATGGTTTCACACCAAAGAACCATTCTCTGAAAAATCACCCGAAATCAGCATTAACCTGTGCTTCAGTCCTACCTGGATTACTATTGACTACTAAGAGATGAATGTGTTCATATGATCCTATTTGAATACCCCCTTTCTCTTTCTTGCAGGGGAGGGAGGCATACATGTATAGTTGGTGTGGAGGGGGGAAAGAGTATGTAGGTGTGTGTGTGCATATGTGTGTGAGTGAATTGCTATGTGTGTCTACACACGCCCATGTATGTGCGAGCGACTGCACGTCGGGACAGCAGGGAGCGGAGGATCCTCTTTTTCTCATGCTACACCTCCGCGACAGTCAGCTCAGCTCAGGGGGAACCTGGGACTTAATAAGTCAGTAACTTCAAGGAGAAAGACATGTATTATTCATTGGCAGACATCTCCTGAATTCACTCAAATCAAATTCGCCTGCCTTTGTTTTGAGAGATCAAGTCTGCGGTTTGACACATATAGAATTGATTGAATTTATTTGATCGAGAGGGAGAGGTGGAAAGGGAAGGTTGTGTGTGGTGT